CCATCCTGGCCAACATGGTGAAACCCCGTCTTTACTAAAAACATAAAAATTAGCTGGGTGTCATAGCATGTGCATGTAGTCCCAGCTACTTAGTATGCTGAGGCAGAATTGCTTGAACCCAGGAGGTGGAGGTTGCAGTGAGCCGAGACCGTGCCACACTCCAGCCTGGCACCTGGCAACAGAGCAAGACTCTCTCTGTAAAAAAAAAAAAAAAAAAAGTAGTCTATAATATGATTCAAATTTTAGTTTTATTTTTCAGTATTAAATTCGCATAGGCCTATCATGTTTCAAAATATTGACAACGGTTTCTCTGAAATGGAATCACAGAAAGTTTCTTTTGTTTCATGATTTTTCTGGATATCTTCAAATTTTACTTTATTTTGTAATAAAAAACCTATGAGAGATTTTCTGAGATTAGTAAACAAACCCTTCACATTAAGATGAAGTAGTTATCTACAAAGCAAGCCTCTGAATAATGGTCATCACATTTTCTATGAACTGATTATATTAGAAAATATAACCCTTCCACAGGATGACAAAAACGCAAGTTTGTCTTTGTGCCCTCATACTAAAAACCCGTGTGGTGCCGTACAGCAACACCAGCATGTGTGAGCAGATTCTTCTCCAGGAGGGTGTTAGAAGCGTCGGCCACTCATGGTTGCAGTGTAACTATGCAGGGGATCTTCTCCATGCCTCTCCAGGTCTGCACAGGCCTAAAATGATAGCCTCAAGGGTGTCCCAGTCTGCTGACTTCCCTTTGAATTTGGCCAGTGGGAATGACAATAGTGGCGGCCAGAGAGTGGAACAAGCAGAGATCAGGCTGCCTGTCCTCAGCTCCCAGCCTAGCATGTCACTGTGGACTGTGCACTTCCCTGCTTAGGGCTGCGGGTCCTATCCAGCAGCTTCTTGACACCACTCAGCCTCTATCTTAAGTTCTAGTTTCCGATAGCCACTCTTACCCTTTCCCCTTCAGGCCTAGGCATGGTAAAAGCTTCTCCTGGGTGCTAGCCCCAGAGCAGCGCTCTCTTACTGCTTTTCCTAAGCCCCGTCTGTACCTTTGTGAAAGGTCTCTAATAAACTCTCCTCAGTTCATTCCATTTGAGTGCCACCTGATTCCTGATTAGTAGGACCCTCATTGATACAATAATATATGTAATTACCCTAGAGAAAATAAAGCAAAGTGCATTTGGACTAAACAAAGCAAAAGGAAAAAAGTAATTTAATGCGTTTAAACAGAAGTTTAGCCCTATGTTACTTCTATGCTTCCATTACCTAGAACATCCTAATGCTTTCCAATTTTTTTGTAAAAAAATTTTGGGCAACTTACTAACTTATATAATCTCAGCACATAGTCCAGGATAGTGTCCTTAGGCATGGAGTAGAGAGAACAGTGGTTATCTCAAGAGACAAATCGTTTTCGCCACATCAAATTGAAAGATAGATATGCTCCTCTTAGGTTCACCTTGTACGGTATCACAAAATACCTTCTCACTTTGTTCATGATTGGGTTTGATGTTAGCCCCAAGCTTCACTTGCCATTTCAGCTTATGGGATTCAGAGTGTGTGTGGTATACAGCAAAGAAAAGGTGGCAGGAACTCACTGTGAGTTTAAGGATCTGAGAAGCCCAGTTTAGGAAAACAAAACAAAACAGCGAGAGAGAGTCCCCACCCAAAAAACTAAGATGACTCCACAACTTTGTTTCAATAACGAAGTCCTATTTTCAGAAAACTGGAAAGACAAATCTGAGAACTATATGGCATTTGTCACTCAGATTATCCCAATCCCATTGCAAAGAAAAGGGAGACAAAATACTTTTTACTCAAAATTGCTGTGAGGCATTCCAAACACAAGGGAGAATGACACTGATGATAATGTAAGCATGAACAGCACAAGGGATGGAAAATGATTGTTTCATCTGAGCAGAGTAATTCAGACCCTGTAGTAAATTATCGCCGTGAGTCCCCCCCCCCAACCTACCCACCCATTCACCCACCTAGAAGTTGGCTCTAGCACTTATGGCAGTCGCTTGAGGGTGCCAGGGCTTTGCTTGTCCCAAATGACACATCACCAAGGCTCCAAGAGCTCACAGGCCCTTGACAGTGGGCACAGTATCACTGGAGTGGCACTGGAGGCTCTAATAGTAGCCAAAGGCTTTAGCTGCCCAGGGAGGGAGTCACAGCATCTTCACCTGCAAGCTGCAGGTGAAGCTGATCGCTTTGCTTTTAGAGTAGCAGGAAGGAGCAGCCTTGCCAGAGGGCACCAGCAATGGGGTGAGCTACCCTCCAATGGCTAAGAGGACTTCAGGAACCACTGTTTAAAGGTGCAGTCTCTCTAATATTGACTCTATTCCTTTTTATCCTGAACAAAAATGAACTTACTGTATTAGGTGATCTCTTAAGATCGCAGAAAAAAAAAAGAGTATTAAATAAGTTCTTAATAGAGGGAGATCAAAGCAGTGGCAAGTCCTAAGAGTCTGGGGACAGCACAGGAACAGTAGGGGCTCACGATGAAAACATGCCATCTTTTCCCGACTCCACCAAGGACCAGCTTGGATGTCAACAGCGCACATGAAACACAAATACTAGAGTCTTAACGTCCTATTCCACTAACTTAAAAAAGAACACTGAAGATGTAAAAGCATAAGACTTCAAACACCTTATCTTGGATCTAATTTCTGTCTCTGAACCCCCTTACAGTATGGCAAATTTTGTATGTTTTCCTAAGGGCAGAAAAACTAATAGAAATACCTACAAAATGTTTGATTGATTATAAACCAAATGCTTATAGAAATCCAGTTTCTAAATTATAGAAGAAAACCACAGGGAAAATATTACTTCCTCACAATTAGTAATACATGATGAAATGACCATATGCCAGTATCCCCTAATAGGGTAAAATTTAAGTTTCTTGCAGGCATGGGGTATCTTATTCTTCTTTGGAACTCTTCCCCAACCCCTGCTACCTGGAAGAGTATATCAGCAGATTAGTTTAGAAGACTCTCAAGGAGCTGGACACTACCCCCTGGAACAGAGCAGGTCTACCACAGGACTGCCAGCCAAGAAAACTGGCCGGGGAGCCAGACGCCTTGTCCACACATGGCTTCCACTCTGTCTCAGTGTGTAACGGAGCTGGCAGAGCCCACCCAACTAATATTAGTGCCTTCCTTCCTCCCATTTTCTCTCATCTCATCTAAGACTTTAGGTAGCTCTGAGAACACATTTCATTATCTTTAAAAAGATTGGGAAAGTCTTGCCAAGGTAAACTATGATGCCCCTTTGAGCCACTGAAAATGCAAGAGGACAGAAAGCAAAGACTAAGGAGTATCAGTGGAGGAAAAAAAAAATCCTGAAATACTACTCAAGGTGGATTCCAAAACCATTTATGACATTTATGTCCTCTTTCCTCAGCAGATGCCCATTATTACAAAGAAGACTGCCATGACACACTAGTCAAAATCACCAATATCAACTAAAAAGAAAAACTCACAGGCCTAGGCATGGTGGATTACATCTGTAATCCCAGCACTTTCAGAGACGGAGGCAGGCGAATCACTTAAAGCCAGGAGTTCGGGACCAGCCTGGCCAACACAGTGAAACCCTGTATCTACTAAAAATAGAAAAAAATTAGTTGGGCATGGTGGCACACACCTGTAATCCCAGCCACTCCGGAGGCTGAGGCATGAGAATCGCTTGAAGCCAGTAGATGGAGGCTGCAGTGAACTGAAATTGCACACTGCACTCCAGCCTGGGCAACACAGTGAGACTCATCTCAAAAAAAAAAAAAAAAAAAAAAAACACTCACGGGATTCTGGTTTTCTATTAAAGCAAACTTCGGTACTTTTAATCAATCACACTATCCTAAGTCATGAGAAAAATAACTCAGTGTGTGCTTCAATATTGCAATTACAAGCATTCCAATTTTGGAAAATCAAATGTAGGCAAGAAGACTTAAATCACTATAAATTTTCATTGTGGATATGAGTTTTCATCCTATAAGTCAAACACTACAGAAAGAAAATGTTATCAGGTAACCAATGCCCTGCAAAGTCATAAGCAGCAACTGTGTAAATGAAAGCTAGAAATGATCTCGAGATTCATATGCCAATGTGCTCTCAACCACCGGAATAATTTGATATTATGGAAAAACCTACTGAACCAACCAAACTTTGATCCATTCATGTTTATCAATGATCAGGAATGGTAAAAAAATGTTTTTCTATAACCAGATAGACAGACCTTAATACACACACATACCTAAGAAAACAAATGTAAGCCATGTATAGGTAATCTCCAAACATCAGGAAGAAGGCAAAGAGATTTCAGGGATATACACACACATATGCAATTGTTAATATATACCCATCTTTTAATGCTTCGATGTCATTTAAAATTTCATGGGAAACTTTCACTTAAATAGTAACCATATCTAGATTCTCATTTCATTTAAATAAATTCAAGTAAAGTTCCTGGGCAAGTTTCCAGAGAGTTAGGTTGCTTTAAAGTTGGCCATGCATTAAATAAAGCTTTGTCTCACAAAAGTGAACGAGTAACTGATATGGTATCTGTACATTCACTCTGCACAAGGTTCCTTTATCTCAAAAGCATTACTCAAAGACAAACAACAAATCAGATTACAGCTCTGGAGAACCATACTCTGCCTCTTCCAGCAACACTGCCAGCTCACAAAATTATATGAAGACCAACCACTGGCTTCCTGAGGGATCGGCTATCTACCTTCTCCATCAGGTCCCCCAAGGTTCTCCTACCTCACACACATGCCCCTTTTCATTCACTTCACTGCCTTTATCCTTCATCTTTCAGAGGCTCGTTAACAATAAGTATACAAAGGTTCATTTTAACAGCAAAACCAAAAAGAGAGCCTTCAGCATTAGATTTTATAATGAAACAAAATCCCAAATTCTGAGAGTCAACTAAGCTAGAACTAAAAGCCATTGCAGGAAGAGATTCATTTCTGGGTCCCTAGCTTCTTTTCACATTACCTGCTTCAGTGTACCTCAGTCCCACTTTTTCTTCGGTGTCTTTTGTCTTTGGGGGTGGCCAGACGGCTTGAAGTCGGCCAGGAGTTCTGTCGTCCTGCTCAGTGGGGCTGTGGTCAGGCTGTTGAAAGGGCAAGCAAATAATAAGTGAAATGTGGTCAGAGCCAATTAATTCCTGAAAAATGACATGCTAACCCTAATTATGAAGTTAATTTTAATGGCTAGTGCACATTGCTCTCATTCACTATAATTTGAGATATCTTACTATAGTGTAATCCTTTTCCAGAGGTGTAACGTGATCAGTTGAGGTAAAAATTTAAAAAACAACAACAAAATCTTGAGGATAACTATGTATTACACAACCCTTAAAAGGTTATTTTTATTATATAATTGTTTGAAAAAGCACAAATATACTTTGGACTGAAGAAACAGACACAGATGTCCTACACTGAAGTACATTTATAGGAATGTTTACACATGTATCCCAAACTCCGGGATTATTTAATATAAAGACTAATTTCATGAACATCAGCAGCAGACCAAGATACATTTCTCCTTTTCCCATACACGGACGAATGAGATTACTTTCACAGCCAAGTCATTTTTACATGGGTTGATTTTTATAATTAGGAGAATGTTATATTGTGTTTAGTTTTTAATTGCAATCTGAGAAAATTTTGCCAAAGACTTTCACTTTTAACATTTTAACTGAGCATTTTAAACATATAGGAGGGGATGATAATCATACACTGAATTGATATTAAGCAAGAAATTCTATTTATTGTTCTTACGATCATTTGAGATCTACTGGACAGGTACTTACTCATCTTTATAAATTACCTGAGTTAGTTTTGAGTAATAACAGTTTCCATTAATTAGATGCTTCTCATGCACTGCCTTCATTTAATTCTTTTAACAACCATATAACTATTTTATTTTTCTAATTTTGCACATGAGGAGATTGAGGCTTGGAGATTATCAAGATTACCCAGCCAGTAAATGGCAGAATTATAATTAAAACTCAGGTCTCATTCTAAATCCAGTGCTCAATCTGGAAGCGTTGCAACCAATGTCGAATACTCTAATCACATCACAAACACTTTTTGCCAAATGGCAGACTTTCAAAGGAATAATATAGTTTCTGTAGAGGTATAATTAAGTGGTGAGGAAACCCTATAAACCTGGGCTATACTTCCACATTGCAACACTTCCTCATGCTACTTGGTTTTATTTACCATCAACATTTAAACTCTCGGTGACAGTTACCCTTTCCTACCTGCATAGCTTTATGTACATCCCTCTTGTAATATTCAAGATAAAAATCAGGATGCATGAAAGCACTTCTGTCTAACTCTGTACTCCTTAGAGGACAATATAATTTGACTATAATCCTTTTTCACCTAAAGAATCACCAACAGGCAACTAGGATTCACTTTGGGAGGAAACCTGGAAAGAAATACAGCAGCACCATATTATATAATAAAACGCAAACCCCAATTCTACATACACTTTTGGGATCAGAGGGGCCATCCGCTGGCTTTGACTTGGACCGTTCAAACACAGCTCTTAGTGACTCCTTCTCATGTCTCATCTTGCGCTTGACAGCTTCCAGCTCAGAGGTGTCAGCTGTGGTCCCCTTTCTAGGGGGCCAGATGAATAAGGCTTTAAAAGCCTCCAGGGCCGTCTCTGGCGGCTTTGGCTTGACCTCACCACCCTGGGTTTGGACTTCTCCAGGGCCACTCTGGCTCTCTTGGTCAGAACTGCCGCCCATCTCTTCTCTCCTGGGTGACTCAGGGTCTGCTCCCTTCAGTTCAGTTTTGGGCATGTCAATGTTGAGCAGCAGAGAGAGCTGCTCCAGGAGAGTGGGAGTGGCCTTCGGATCAGTTGCTTTATCCTCACTCTTCACTGTCTGCGGCCCTGCCTGCACTAAGGACTTCTGTACAGGCTGGGTCAATTTGAGCAAAGCCAAGTCCCCATCCTTTGGTTTAATTTCAGTGATGGTCTCTCCTCTCTCAGCGTTAGCCCCCTTCTTCAGCACACGAAGCCCATTGAAAAAAGCTGGAAGCTGGAATGACTTCTCTCCAGAAATTTCTTTTTTAGAAGAGGCACTCTCAGTGACACCAACACTCAAATTCTGGTTTGTTACTGCAGGTAGGACTTGGGACCCTTCTTCTCCCTCCTGGCCCTGGCTGGGGTGATGCTCTGTTGGAAGACCAACACTGCCAGGTTCTAGTCTGCTGCTTGTCTCAAGTGGAATCCTTTGAGGATCTTCTGCACAGAGTTCTGCACCATTCATTTCCTCAGTGACAGTATTTTCCCTGAAATCTCCTGGGTTTTCTTTGGACTCCTGAGATGGCTCAGTTAAAACAACACTAGGGGACTTGGAGCCATTGGTGCTGCTTCCCTCCTCTGGCTCCTGGCCACCATCATCAGAGTCGGAATCACTGGTGGTGTGCACGAGGGTCCCATGAACACAAATGACATCACCTTTTGTCTCTTCCAAAGTAGAGAGTGGAAGCAGCTCTTGAGCAAGGAGAGATGTCCCTGCTTCTCCTTTTCTCTGACTTCCCTCTGATTCTGTCTCTACCCTTGCAATTTTCTCACCATTTCCGAGGTCCAGTGAAACCCGAGACTCTGCTTCCTGTGGATCCAAGCCACTGCTGGGATCATCCCGCTGAGATGTGGGCTCTGCGTCTAAACTGCGGAATGCTTTCAGCACAGCATCTTCCTCTTCTGGACTCACAGATTCTAGTTTATTTGTAAATCCAAACAGGGATTTCATAGAGAACTTACTCAGGATCGACTGAGCCATTTCAAGTCCAGCTTCTGGTTTTGCTGGTTCTGAGACATCACTGCCATCCAGAGAATTATCAACGTTCTCCATGTCTCAGTAATGCCCTTGGTAGAAGTTCTGACTTGTGCTACCTTCTCCTGCTTTCTCAGTTTATCCACTCCATCTGCTCTTAATTTGCAGGACCAAGAGCAACAGGACCTGGGAGTCGGGCAGTCAGCCGAACAGCAAACACACTTGGTCTCTTTCAGGTCACTGTGCAGTCCCTCTGGTTTGTGCAATGATGGTGCACCCAGGCAACTGTGAAAAGTGCGTGGAGTCTGTGCCCAGAAGCAGCCAAGGCCGCGTACCTTACTACACACGGACCACGGAGGCTGCTCTTCTGAAACTTCCGTATTTATTCCCGGGGACAAAAGCCTTTTTGTCATAGGGAAAGTCAGACTGCCCTGTAATCCCAGCCCAGGACTTTATGAGGAGCTCCGCCCCAGGCCGGCGGTTCTCCTGCTGGCATTCAACTTCCTCATTGGTGAGCAAGTGAAGCCTTCTGAAAGTGCTGAGCCGGCAAGCTGATTCTGACGGCGCTTAACCACTGCCCCGAGGAGCCTAAGGGAATCAGAAGTGAATCAGCAGAAAATGACTGAAATACTTCTGACACAGGCCTTCTTTTTCATCTGGATTATGATCAGAGAGTCCTGTGCTGCCCAGGCCAAAAAACTAGCAGTACACCCAGATCAGCAGCCACTTACAATGCCACAATCAAGTTGGGAAACAAACTAGAGAAACCAATAGATCATCTTGAAAGTACCCAGAACTCTCAAAGCAGTTCATTTACAGCCCTTGAAGCATTTTTTTTTTAAGTGCTTTCTTCCGCTTCCCTGCAGGTTTCATCTGGAATGCAAGTTTTCGCTGCTAAAGCCAGAGAGGGAAAACCTACAGGACTGGTTTCAGGTGACTGCTGTTTTAGCTCTGCCCTGGCTGTCTCAGTGCTCTACAAACAGGTACTAGGCAAGCACGCCCACCACGCCCAGTGTCCACCAGCAACAGGGTGGCAGAGTAAACAGCCCAGGCTAAGTAGGAATGATCACCTTCTACACTCCCTGTGCCAACCACAGGCTTCTTTCCGCTCAGCAGCTGTGACTTTCTGGCTTCCTTAGAAATCCTGGCATTAGCAGGACACCCCTCTCCCCTTCAGTGTCCCAGCCAATTAAATGAAACCTGGCTTGGCACAGTTTAACAAACAATCTGCCCTGTTAGACAAAACAATTCAAAGATCCCCAAGGATCCGCATTCCCCTTCAGGGCAAAATATTTGAAAAGTCTCTATCAGTCAGATCTCTATCACAGACCCAATTTGCCTAAACAAAAACAGGACAGACAAAACAACCTCCAAGCATTAGCCCAGTGTAGTTTCTACCACTCTGTTTATAGCTGGGAAGCTGGCAACAAGGACAGGGGCGAAAATTGCAGCCCTGTTTGCTAGCTGCATAGCTGCCTCTTGGGACAGCTGTCTATCTACCTGAAGGTCTCACTGTTTTTCAAATCCAGTCCCATTCAGCAGGCATGCAGTGAGTGCCTGGGATGGGCAGGGCACTCTTCTGGATGAAGAGGTGAGTCAAACTGGCTTAACAGTAATTGCCAGCTCTCTTTGAGAAAAGCTTCAAGAAGATGCGGTCAAGTGTTAAACATAAACAGCAATTTATTCTGCAAAACGGAAATAGTAACCCTAAGGAAAATGCAAGAGGGGGTGGCTGCGTGTCACACATTGATAACTTGAGCCATGTTCCTCAGTACTAAAAACAATGTTTGTAAGTATTAATACTGAGACATTCTGATTGCAAAAATGCATTTCTAGCATGTGTTCAAAAGGAACCCTCACACAAATAAAAAAGGTACCTACCATTACATCCCACCAACCATTAAGGGAAAGTTAGATACCTTCTAAACCTTGATTTGATCTTGTGTTTTAAATGGGTACTTCTCTGTTTGCTCCTGATCACAGTATTTCAGGGGATTATTAACTGATGCACACTTAATCAAAAAGCCATCAGAACACTGAAGAAAAATTCAATGGTGTCTATGAAGTCTCAGAACAAGCTTCCTGTCTAGAGGAAATATCCATTGATTGAAATCAGACATCTGTTTCTTCAAGATTGTAGAAAGAAGAAATCATCACCAAAGATCATAAGATCAGTCTTCTTACGAGCAATGCAGATCATCCAATTGTAGTATGGCAGGGGACAGTAGGAGATGGCACATATTTGGTCTTGTTCTGTTTTTTGAACTGAAAAGACTCAATTTTCTCTGACATAACTAACATGGATTTCTGGAATA